TCTCTCACCAAAGAGCGGACTGTGGTCATGGAAGCCAAAACCTTCCTGATGACATGAGCGCTGCAGTCTTTGGTTCACTACCTGGATCCTCCACTCCCTCCTCAGGCCATAGCCTGAGCCTGGGAGGATTGAAGAAAACACCACCTGTGCCCCCAGACCATTTAGCCCTCCTCCCAAATCCCTGTAGCATCTCATGACCCAGCTGGGAGCACTCTGAGCCATGTCATTAGTGCCCACATGGATGAGGAGCATGGGATAGTGGTCTGTGGGCTGGAGGAGTTTAGGGATCTTCTCCACAATGTCTCAGATGCGGGCTCCTGGGAAGCAACAGACTTCCTGGGCTAAGGGGTCAGGGTGGCAGATTGCCCCCTCAGTCCCCATCAGGATGGAGTCTCCCCTGACAAACACTTCGTGTTTTGTCTTGGGGAGAGCGGGGGCGGTAGCCACAGTAGTGTCCATGTTGTCTGTGGGAGCTGGCAGCTTGGCAGGCTCTGCTGAGGCTGCAAGAGGTTTGTACCTGTTGCAAAGCTCCAGCGGTGGGGTGGCCTTGGTGCGGCAGGCCTTGGGGCTCTTGACCACCTTGGTCTAACCCCTGGGCTGGACAGCATGGGAGGTCCCTGAGTCCTCCCTTGTCCTGGAGGGAGACTGTGGTCTACCCTCCATCTCCTGGGGGAGAAGGGCCTGGCAGTAGGAGTGGATCTCCTGCTCACAGTCCCTGATGGCACGCAGTCTCTGGACTGTGGCCTGGAGCTCCTCCAGCTGGCGCACCGCAGACCCCACAGGCCCCAGAGCCTGAAAAAGTGACAGGCAGCCCCTGCAGCCGAGAGCCAGGGGCTTTGTCTACATGGAGCCAGGAACCATGGGCCCCACCTGGGTGGAGGCCTCTGAGGCGCTGATTGCGGGGGCCGCAGACCCTGAGGGGACCCTCGCGGTATGGCATGTGCCCATCCGCGTCATGCCACTGATGGGCGGGCTGCGGCTGGGAATCCCTACCCTGAGGGGTTCACAGGCAAGGCCTTGGGCCCTCCTGCGCTAACTCACATGCCGGGCAGACAAGTGCGCCTGTTTGTGCAGTCTGTTCGCAAGGCTCTGGTCACATGGCTCCCTGGGGGGATGGGCGAAGTAGGGGCCGGGGCAGGGCGAGACCCCCCTCGGCTCCGACTTAGCCTCTTCCCTGTGGCTAGGCTGGGGCTAGTCCCTACCACCAGGGGCCCCACTTCCCTCCGACTGCTGCTGGGGGTCGGTGGGGGCACTCTGTGGCAGTTGGGGGGTCGCTGAGGGGCTTTGGGAGAGTGGGGCGCAGCGGGCTTGCACCCGCGCATCTCATGCTGCTCCTGGAGCCTGTCTGGGTTTTTTTTTTCCCCAAACTGAGTCAGCCCAAACTCAGTTTAGGAGCTTTTATAGCTGAAGTTGGTAGTGGTTTTTTTTACTCTTTCAGATTTGATACAACATGGAGTGAAGAGAATCTGCAATTTCTTTGTATTTTATTTAAGAAAAGGTTATTAATAAAAAATTTCAAAAAATCCTGCACATTTCAGAAGCTCTCCTGATACTATTTTACCCCATAATCAAAAGATGTGTTTATATTAAACAATAAACACATATTTTGAACTACTAATGGATATTCAAATCACTTTTGCAAAGAAGAACAATGGAGATTTCTAATATGAGCAAACTTGAATGTCCAGTCTGCACTTAGCACAAGATGCACTTTGGTTATAGTTCAAACTTACTCCTTCCCTGGTGTATGCCTTTATTTTTAATATAAATAAAGACAAAACACACTTTAGTTAACCCTTTCTCTTGAGAATGGCTGGCTCTAATGTTTCTCCTTGTGGAATCTTCCATCTCTTCATATAGTTCACATGTAGAACCCCCTTAGACTATTAAGTAGGGAAGACTAAGCTGAACAGACTCACCTTTTCTGAGTCAGCAAAACTGTTCTGCACCTTGGCGCAGGATTCTAACAGCTAATACGCTGTTATTTAATTTAAGTTTAAAGGAAAATAAAACATTGTGATAATAATGATAGTAGCTTCTTTTCATATTGCTTTACCTTCTAATAATAGCATTTTAGGCACTCCCTGTGGTAAATGGGACTTCTGAGAACCACAGTTCTGTTTGTGTTGGTTGCTAATGCAGTTTGTTGGAATCTAGTGTTACTATTGGCATCTGTAAGGATTATCACTTTTAGCAGTGACATTTTATTAGGTAGTAACATGTGCATACCTTGTACGTCACTTAGCAGAGTGAAAAGTTCACAACATTAAATGAAAAATGTGTGCATGGAAGCTGTTAATTAAATAATGTTTGTGGAAAAGTGGATACCAGGCTTTTATATTCAGTGATGCATTTTGTTAACAATATATACTTTATTAAAGAAAAGAAAAACACATAAACTGATGAAAAGTCAGACTTTGAAGAAGTAAAGGAGAGACCTTCTTGGCTGCTTAATTATTAATGCAGAGTCTTCAGTAAGATGACTGGAACAGAATCATACTGCAAAGTATAAAAGCATCAGGAGGATCTAAGAAAGTGCCATTTCAAAATCCAGAGAGAGAGAGGGTTCACATTCAAAGCTTAGCTTTCAGTCCAGTCTCAGCTGGATCTGTATTTAGTATCTGTAAATAGTAGGCACAATTTTATGCCAACATTTATCTGTATTTAAATTGGGCATCTCATGCTCTAATTTGTAGGTGCCATCAGGCTGTCCAGGTAACCAGAATTGCACTGGCATACATTTTTTCTTTCCATTTGCAGGATTAAAAATAGAAGCCATTTCTGAATATTTGACCCTTAAAATGTAGTCTTCAGTTTTTGGGGATATGAGAGGGTACTGTTTAAAATGTTGTCAGAAGTTGTCAAATTCTAAAATTTGGTGAAAGTTAAAACCATAAAGAATGGCAGAACGATGATAGTGGTAAAAGCCTGTGCCCTCACTGAAATAACTTACAAAGTTTCCATCTCTGATTTAGTGTTTCAGAATGGCAGAGACTCATGTGTTGATGGAGAGGCTGGAAAAAGCTGTTATTCGGCTGGAATCGCTGTTTTCAGATTCACACAGGTCTGCAGAAGTGGAGTGTGAAGCTGTCAATGGAGTCAATGGAGGTATGTCTTGTTCTTTTATACATTTTTTGGGAGTGCTGGATACAGAGCTTGTTAGAGCAGCATGTGTTATGTTCAGTGAGAGAGAACAAGTCCTTATGGAGCTGTGAGTTAACAAAGAGCAGTTTCTTTGAAGACTTCTGGAAAATTTACCGGGATAATCATAATCATAAATTAGTATCCTAGACCAGGGGTGTCACAATTCCTTGGTCCCCCAAGCCAGACCTAAACTGCAGGGCTGCTTGCAGGCTGGATCTGGACCCATTCAGGTGGTGGGGTGAGTAGTGGTGATATTAACCACTGTGACTGAAGGCTGGTTACAAAGGAGATGGAGCCAGATGGTTCTTAGTGGTGGCAGATGACAGAACAAGGAGCAGTGGTCTCAAGTTGCAGCAAGGGAAATATTAGAAATACAGGTTAGATATTAGGAAAAACTTTCTCACGAGGAGGGTAGTAAAGCAAGGGAACAGGCTATCTAGTGAGGTTGTGGAATATCCATCCTTAGAGGTTTTTAAGTCACAGTTAGACAAAACCTTGGCTGGGATGATATAGTTGGGGACAGTCCTGCTTTGAGTGGGGGTTGGGTTAGATTATCTCCTGAGGCCCCTTTCAACCCTAATTTTCAAAATTCTACCACTTCCCAACCTGAAACAATTAGTGCACCTGTCACTTGCCCCTCCACTGCCAACAGGCATCCTCAGCAAGGCTCCATAGACAGGAATTTGGTTGTAGGGCCACCTCTTCTCACCCCACCTGCAAGTTCCTGGTCCCTTCAGGAGTCCTGTGGGCCACCTGATATGATTCTGCATGTTGGATCTGGCCTGTGAACCTTATCTTTGAAATCCCTGCCCTAAATATAATCCTTATTTCAAAGCTTTCCTGCTCTTTCCATATTACTGTTGATATTATTGTAGAGGGTTCATGCATTGCAGATGCCTGATAGCTCTAACTAGCAGAGGTAATGAGCATTCCTGAAAAGCCAGAATACAAATTTTGCTGAATAAATTGGCAATTCAGAAATGTAGAGCCCCCCCAGCTTCCTTGATTTCACTGCATAGTCATTGCATTTAATTGCCTGATCAATTAAATCTTATCTGCGCTCGTTCATAATCATTTTGTTGCGAAGTGCTGCCATTTCAGTTTTGGTTTTAATGCAGATTGTCTTTTGTGCTCCACCCACAGAAGTGCATCTACAAAGCGCAACTCGTAAGAACAGAGACATAAAGCTAGTATCAGAACCTACTTACATGTTTTCCCCACACCACAGGGCCAAACCATACTTAGTCATACTCTGCATGTCTGAATTTAGAATTTTACTTGTTTCTGAATGTATACGTTAAACTAAATTGCCTGAGTACATGGTCAGGCAAGAACATTTAACCCCCACACAAACTGAAATAAAAATTACTACTAAATATTATATATTTACAAAACATAGGCCCTAATCCTGGAATGGAAAGGATAGTACAATTTCCAGCGATATTTCTCATTTTGGCCCATTGCTTTGTATATGGTAGCTTGAGCACAGCTATGTATCCCTATGCTATTATGTTTCTGGGTAGGTTTTCTTTCCAATTTTAAGCAGTTTTAATGGCTTACCAATTACATCATTGTTACAAGAAGGATGTGTCTTTCCCTGTCCTGCCTCACTTAGAACAGGAGCTCATTACCAGGTTGCTGTTATTAAAATTACTACCAGATTTATTTGATTGTAAGATGAGGTTTTTTTCCTCCTTTTAACGTGGGAAAGAAAACCCTTTTATCCATCTCCCCTCCTCATGCAGCTTCTGCTCTCTTGCCTCCCTCTCCCTCCCTCACTTTACTCCTTGCTGGCAGGCTGCATCCACACTGCAGCCGTGGACACCAAGCACAGTCCCAGCCCAGCAGCAGTGCACAGCCTGCACAGCTACTCCAGGAGCTGACCTGTGGCAATGCTCAGTGCCCCTCACCAGAATGGGGACGGAGGCTGCTGGCCAAATGTAAGGCAGGGTGTGGGAAGCAGAGACTGAGGAGGGGGAGCTGGAAGGGGGGGAGATGGAATAGAGGCAGAGGGGGAAGGGGAATGGGGGCCCAAGGCTGTGAGGGGGCAGGCAGGAGGCAGAGGTGGCAGGGGGGAGGACACAAGCAGGGGGCAAGCTGTTTGATCTCCCAACACCACCTACCCCCCTACTGCCTGCCTCCCTGCAATGGTGGGAAGGATGAATTAAAAATGACCCTCCAATAATTAGATTATATACATGGAGAATTATAACAAATTTATAACTTTTCCATGCATAGAACCTAACGATTGGTGGGTCATCTTAAATTCAAGGTCATCTTAGAATCAAGTAAATTTGGTATTTAGTTATATTTCCTGCTCTTGAAATTCCCTGAGGGTTTAGGCAGAAATAGAAATATGTTGCTCTCTTCCATATTACTGATTCAAAGAATTTATAAATTACTTACTTTAGAACGTGTAAGGGGCTCATTCCAGGCTCACTTGTATCTTTCTGATTTATACTGTTAGCATGCAGGGCAAAACAGTGGGGAGAGAATAGTACCTGTTTTATTTCTGAAGATTATAGTGGCAGGATTGCAGACAAATCAAAGAGTTGTTAAATTACAGCAAGGGCCCAAGAAACATTAGGTCAGGGGTTCTCAAACTTTTGCTCTCAAAGGGACAATCCTGGGTGGCAAGCCACATGAAAAGGGGTTGTTGGCCACACTTGGCCTGCAGGTCACACTTTGGGACCCCCTGCTCTAGTTTATATTCTCATAAGTCAGCAGAACTGATTCTTAAAAATAGGCCTAGCTATGTACTGTTTTTGTGTGTTGTTAGTGCAGCTGGTGGATTCTGTTTGAGGCTGTGCTGCAGAGGAAAGGCTAAAACAAGTGTCTTTGAGGCTGGCACAGATTTGACGAACACTGAACTGGCTTTGGAAAACATTTCCTTCCCCACCATTGAAAACTTTGTATCGTAGGACATACAAAGGCCTTGCGCATTAACATTTTAAATGGATGAAAGTGCCAAAATTCCTTAGAATATAAGGTGAAAAAAGAAAGTAACATAAGGAGAACAAGACAAATTTGACATCCCCTCAAGCAGCCTAACCACAATATGTTTTGTACAGGCAGTTCTGAATTCTGATGGCTTAAGCCTGTAGTTTTTGTCAAAGGGCCAAAATGCTGCTACTGCTAAACGAGCCTTCATGGTTATGGATCTGGGATCTCCAGTCACCCAGGTTCACAAAGGCCATGGGTGGTTTAAATTAACACATGCTGGATCAGGGCCATCGAGAGGTATGAGGACATGTCAAGGAGGACTGGAAATCCTCCCGGAAAAGATTATCTCTCTGCCTTAGTTGATATGTAAAGCCATGCATAAAACCAATTGGATATAAAAAAGTAGCTCTTATATCTGGATTTTCCAATTGTCCAGGTGATTCAAGTCAGCCTTAGGGGACAGTGTAGTATACTCTTTAGTGTAAATGGCATTCCTACTTCTGTGGTGTACTTAGGTATATATACTAATCAAGATGAATAATTTAGTGGCACTGTCCTTTTTTGCCAAATGACTGAATGAAATTTTATCATTATTAGAATTTACAGTTTGGCCAACAAAGATGAGAAAACAAGAAAACACTGAGCTTCAAAGTTTAAACTGATCAGAAAGTAACTAACCATTCCCATCCTATCATAGAATTGCACTATTGCTAAAGTAAAGCCCCATGGCTTGCTGTTTATTAACATCTACCAACCAAAGCTCCAGGAATGGGTAGGATGACTAGACATAGCAGCTGTTCATTACAGATTATAGTTTCATAGTAGGTAGGTTTGGAAGGGACCTGAGAAGATCATCAAGTCCGACCCCCTGCAATGGCAGGAAAGGATGCTGGGGTCAAACAACCCTGGCAAGGTGATTGTCTAGCCTCCTTCTGAAGACTCCCAGGGTAGGAGCGAGCACCACTTCCCTTGGAAGTTGGTTCCAGCTCCTAGCCACCCTGATTGTGAAGTAGCGCCTCCTGAGTAGTGTGAATCTACTCTCAGTCAACTTATGGCCGTTATTCCTCATTACTCCTGGTAGTGCTCGGGGGAACAGGGACTCTCTCATTGCTTGCTGGTCCGGATTCATTCAGTGTGTTTTGGGCTGTAGGAAGTTGGCTTCTGGTGATAAGGTTAGCAAGGTCCAATGCTTGTTTGCATTTACAAACCACTTTTCACAGATGGGCCTATAAACTTCACTTCATCAACCTCCTAGGTTCAGAAACTCATGAACTCAATATAGACATTGAATTCATAACACACTACAACCTGACGGACATCTGACTCCTCAGGTACTTCTCCACTTTTACCTGCCGCAT